TTATCCCAAGCTTGGACTTTCTTTTTAAAACAACAACACTGAAGTGGCCAGTGTATGAATGACCAAATTCATCTGCAAAGGTGTGAATTGCCATTTTTATATGGAATTTCTGTTTTGAGTTGCATGAGTGTCTCAGGATTTTTAAAATGGGTGGGTAGGGGTGGTGAAAATGGCAAGAAAAAAAGGGGGAGATAAGTTTTCAAGTGCTCTGTATTTATTTTGATACAAGCCAAACATATTTCGGCCTCTGTACGTTAGCAATGGCCTTCTTCAGGGGCAATATGCAAAACTAGCAGCAGAAATTTCTGGAGCTGAAATCTCATTCTATTAGCTGGACTGACAAAAAAAAAATCTGGAGATCAATTTATTTATTGACGTCATTTATATGCCACCTTTTCTCCTACAGAGGGACATGAGGGGCTTCCAAAAACAGTAAATTAAAAATGTTTACAATAAAAATTTAAAAACAATTAAAATACTTAAACACCATAAAACACTTTAAAAGCCATGCAAAAGTTAAAAACAAACAAATAAAACCTCCCTTACTTATGTAAACATTTAAATATATCAAAATAAAATAATGTGTTCTTTGTTGTTGCCATCTTCAACCTATCCTGGGGTTTTCTTGGCAAGATTTATTCAGAGGAGGTTTGCCATTGCCATCCTCTGAGGCTGAGAGAGTGGGACTTGCCCAAGGTCACCCAGTAGGTTTACATGGCCGAGCCAGAATTCAAACCCTAGTTTCCAGAGTCAAAGTCCAACGCTTAAATCACTACGGCATACTGACCAGGGTTCAAATCCCAGTTCAGCCATGGAAACCCATTGGGGGACCATGGGCAAGTCACACTCTCTAAGCTTCAGGGGATGGCAATGGCAAACCTCCTCTGAAGAAACTTGCCAAGAAAACCCAATGACAGGGTCTCCATAAGTCAGAAACAACTTGAAGGCATGCAACAACAAAATAATGTATCAAAATCAATCAATCAATCAATCAATCAATCAATCAATCAATCAATCCCATCTACAGAGCACCTGGGGATGTATCTCCCCCTTTGTTCTTGTGGATTCCATTGCATGCTCTTTGGTATTTTTCA